GTGCGTCGGTCTCATTTTATATATAATATCTTTTTATATATATATATATATATATATATATATATAATTATTATAAATTATATTTAATTATAATTAATATTTATACAAATAATTTTTACTTCAATATTTTTTTCTTCAAATTAAATATATTATTTCGATGACACTTTACATTGTGAAAACATTACACACACACACACACACGCACACACACACACACCTTTACAGCTATTTGAAACAACACAGTGACAAATAAAAGAAAAAGAACAAGACTCACTTATTAGGGAAAACTCGAGTGACGCCTCCATCTGTGGCTGCAAAGACCGCCATAAAGCCGTACCTACAGCATCATAACACACATACTCATTCACATTTATCACTAGTTCTAGGTTAATGCCTCATAAACGTGTCAGTCTACTAATGAATGGGAGGAATTTCAGTGGTTCTTCCTGAATATGAACGTACGTGTTGAGGTCCTTGTTCTTCCAGACTTTATCTACCAGCTCTTTAATGATGCCCGTGTCCAAGATCAGATTATGCAGCAAGAAATTGTCACCTGTGTGGAATAATGATGATAATATTATGATAATATTATGAGCTGATATCTTCAAACAAGATGGTTTTGAGTTCAAGAATTGTCAAAGAGAGAGTCAGAATATCAGTCAGTGTTGTTATTGTTATATATATTTGGTGAATGAAATAAAGTCAAAATAAGTATAGAAGTATAGAATATAAAATGTAAATATGACATGAAAACCTTAAACGTAAATAAGCTTCTAAATTAGGAAATTAGAAATGTTACCTTGGCAACTAACTGAAATAAGTTGAAATAATAAAATGACTAAAATTTTAATAAAATGACAAATTAATAAAAAAATTAAATGCAATAAAAATGACAAAAGCGAGTAAGAAAATTACTAAAACTTCTATACATGCTTGACATACTCTGAATTACAGTATAATTATGTATCGAGTATGTTTTTTAATGTGTTGATTACGTTTTTTAATGCATTTTAAATTTAGTTTGTTTAATTTGATTTTTTAATTATTATTTAAATATTTTTTATAAATTAAGCAAAAAAAACGAACAAAAACAAAACAAAACAAGAAAATTACTAAAACTTAAATTCAAATAAAAACTACCTTTAAAAAAAAGAACTGCTTTATTAATGCTTCAAGGTTGTCTCAGCTGGTCTTATAGCGCAGTGTTCTAGCTAAAACCCACAGACCTGTTCAGACCAGCATGGCTGGTTTAAGATGTTCTTTTTAGCAGGAACATATGACATTTGGATAACACTCAACTGATTGTGCAATGAAAATTACTGACAGAAAGTACTTTAAGATGGAACAAAGTCATTGAATAATTCACTCAAAATCTGTGAGCCTCACATTGTTTGGAGTCCGGCGTGACCTTCTCCATCAGAGCGATGAAGTTGAGCAGGAACTCGGTGTTGTTGTTAGACAGCTCCAGGTCTTTGCAGTATTCCCTGAGGAAAACACACATCATTCCACACTGGAAAACTCTCTCTGATAAAGATTAACATCATAAACAGACTGTAAACCCTTAACAGACAGTCAGAGTTTTGCATTGACCAATATTTCACATTCATGTAAACATCTTAAACACACAAAACACCACAATGACATACATAAAACATAACTGCAGTGAAAAATGATTCTTAACCAGTATCTTTGTCTGGTTTTCCAGTAAAAATACCTAAACATCCTTAAAACAAGACAAATCTAACAGTAACACTGCAGTGCATTTGGTCTAAAACATACACTGTATAAAAGCTGGAAGTTGTAAACAAAACAAACATTACTTCTAAAGGAAACACTATTTCAGTTTTTCTACTTTAAAATTTCATGCGCAATTCAATGTGTTATTTGCAGTTATTCTGTAATTATTTGTGAAATTTACTAGCAATCTGTGAGTGAAAATTGTTTTAAAGTAAATCCTACACTTTTTCTTAAGTCATAATTATTGCAATTTTGCTTCTCAGGTAAATTCATCTTGTTCAGGGCTGTTTAGATGTTTTTACTGGAAAACATAACAAAACTACTGACTAAGAACATGATTTTGGAGTGTATATGCTTTATAAACACAGAGAGAAAGATGATCAGTCATAGACTCATGCACGTGAACTTCTCTAGATCCATGCACACCAAAGTCAACCTTCCCCTTGATACTGATGCCGTATGTAAGGAAGTGAGGAGAACGCCATGCACACACAGACACAGAGGAGACGTGTGAGAGCTGCAGCGATGAGATGTGGAGAGAATCTACTGAACGTCAGAAGATACAGATCCATGAGAGCAGACGACAATGATTCAAACACAGAGTTACCCAGAGGAATATATACTGCTCAGCTTGCATAGCATGGCTTTCAGAGACACTTCAAGTATGAACTTTATCTTTGTGTGCCTTTAAATTGTTTAGGAAAAATACAAAGTTGATGTACAGTTAAGTACAGAGCTATAAAAATGAGCATGGCATAGAGGAACATTTGAGTTCATTTTAAAATTACAGTAACTCTGAAACTAAAGGAGACGTGTGATTATGTAAGATTATTGATGTCTTTTTCTCAGGTTAAAAATATAAAAAGCAGGAGTTTTCCAGGTTCGAAACAAATTATGCTTTATCAGCAGCTTTCTCATTACCACAGAAAATATGATCAACTTGTCGCTCAAGTTTGTAAAAACAAACAAAAATCACATTTATAATAATATATTAAGAATGGTTTAAAAAAAGTTTATCGGGCCACGTTTTGCTACCATTGTAATTTACAACTACACCTAAAAAATAACTTTTCAAAATTATAAAATAAGAGTATGTTTTATAAGAAAATACTATCTCAGTGTTTCTACTTCAAAGTTTCACATGTAATGTTACTTGCCTTTTTAAATTATTTGTCAAATTTACTATCAATTTTTTCTATTTTGTCAAAGTACTCATTTAACACAGTATTTAAAAGTATTTAATAGAGCGCATAGGCTACTAGATAACTAGAAGAAATAAAATAGACCCTTCTGAATACAGTATCTGGGCTGGCGCCGGTTCCACTGTCAGTGAAATACTGTACACATATTGCTTGTTTATATAAACAGAGCAAAACTATTTTCTGTGGAAATCAAGCTTTACAGTTTTAAAAACAAAGGTTCCTTTTTCTTTTTTTGTCAGTGCCTTTAAAGGAAGTTCTCACCCTCAGGCCACCAAAATATAGATGAGTTTGTTTCTTAATCCACACCACTCCAGTTTATCAATTAACGTCTTGTGAAGTGAAAAGCTACGAAATAAATCCATCAAGTTTTTTAACTTCAAACTGTTGTTTCCAACTAAAATATCACAATCCATAGTCCATAATCCATAAAAACGGTTCCTCCGGTAAAAAAGTAATCTCGTCTGAATCAGGAGAGAAATATGCACAGATCAAGCACCATTTACATCCAAATACATTCCAAAACAGTTCTAAATAATATGTCAGTGGATTTTAATGCGAGAGAACAACAGGGAATGGATTTTTTACTGAAGGAAGTGTTATTATGGATTATGGACTCGTATTTTGGCCAGAAGCGACGGTTTAAAGTTAAAACACCTTAATGATGAATTACTTTCTTATTTCATAAGACATTAATTGATGGACTTGAGTGGTGTGGATTATAGTGATGTTTTTATCAGCTGTTTGGACTCTCATTCTGACGGCACCCATTCACTGCAGAGGATCCACTGGTGAGTAAGAGATGGAATGCTACATTTCTCCAAATCTGTTCCCATGAAGAAACAAACTCATATACATCTTGGATGGCCTGAAGGAGAGTACAGCAAATTTTCATTTTTGGGTGAACTAACCCTTTAAAGAACCATTTTGGTTCCCCAAAGAAGCTTTCAGCAAACAAGAACCATTTTTCTTAGTATGAAGAACATGTTAAAACCTTTTTTTTTACCACTATAAAGAACCTTTTGTTGCACAGAAAGATTCCATGGATGTTGAAGCTTCTTCATGGAACCATCAATGCCAATAAAGAACCTTTATTTTTAAGAGTGTACATGTGATGAACCCAGAACACTATAAGTCTCCATTTGCTCTTAATGCTGTCTAGGAGATATTAACAAGATTTTTCTTTCCTACGGGTGACGGCGAGGAGTCTCGACAGACAAAACAACAAATAAACACATCCACTTGGGTTAAAATGGAAAGACACGTTACGCACAGCACACACACAGAGACTACAGTGACTACGGTATGTTGAAAAGGAAGTTAGCGATGGACGTATGCATGAAAACAGGAACGTGGCTTCAAGAAGACACACAAAGCTACCTGGGGGCAATGAACACATGTCCCTCTGACTCAAAAGTGTTTGGCAGGAGAGACTCAAAATCTGCAACAGAAACGGGCAAGATTATCCAGGGGAAGCGGAGGACGGAGAACACAGGGAGGCTTCTGAGAAACAAATGAACATCAGCTGCTCTTCAAAAAGTGTTACCATAGCAACACTGAGGAATCATAGGGGAATACCAGCGTTAGCCACTATGGTGCCTTCAATGGAGTCGCACTGGCCGAAATAATTGGCTAATTTGGAAAGCAGACACTTTTAGCTCGATTTGAATTTCGTCTGAATTCCGATCTTTTGCAAGTCGGAGAACTGGCTCGCCCCTCGGGATACACACTGAGACGAAGCGAGTTCTCCGACGCCGTTCCCACGAACTGCGTGGCATGCCGCTTTCTTTTTCAACAGGCATCAACATGGCCAACCGTTTAGCTGGGAGTGGGTGAGGCAGGGGTCCTGATGGAGGTGATCGCCCCTCAGACTGGCACCGCAGAGCCACTCCAGAGACTCAATCGGAGAAAGTACCCAGCATTGTGGACGAGAAGAGAGAGGGCAACCCAGTTTGATCTACTACACACTATCCTCATGTTATTCATCACACTGTCCTGCATCATATCTACTGAATGAGATCCTGATTTCAGGGTGCTGATTCCAAAAATAGTGCCTGTTTTGCTTCAGCATGTGACACTTTCTTACAAAATATGATGCATTTTGTAGCATTTTTGCTTTTGACAAGCATTTGTAAGGTGAAGAAGTCCTTGATCAACAGACAAAAGACGTCTCCCATCTTACAACTTATTGTTCAATTCTCAGTACATTTTCACATGTATTACATTACTTTATGGCTAATCCTGATTTCAGGGTTAGAATTATGGCCAGTGGCAGAAGAAAATGCAAACATGAGCCAGATGTGCGGGTGTTTTACTATATCCAAACTGTGACAGAAAATGACAGATTTTGTGAAAAAGCTCATGTTCTTTGAAATCAAATGAAGTATTTGAACATATTTCTCCACTCCTTTGCATACTGTAAGTTAAATGATACATTTTTAATACTTATTTTTGTCATTAAAACCGAAGCATTTGACTGTATTTATATAGTATGAAAAAAAACAATGTGATTTTTATTGATATTTTGAACTCAGCATCATCAAATTAGGTAATATTAGGCTTTTTTTGCAAATCAGCAGAATTTGTTTTCAGGATGCAGGGCTGTGTTGTTTATGACTTGATATTCGACAAATAATGATGTAAAGAAAGTATACAAGCAGCAAATGTTGCATATATGTGTGTATACATGTACATTTTTGTATTCAATAAATGTCCATGTGAATATATGCACCCAATAAATATCTACGGTAATATATGTATCACTGTTGTGCCCAGGTAGTTTTTCCCTCCACACTGTCTTGCACTTCCAGGTCAGGATAAGTGAAGATGCAGCGGAGCGTCTGCGGTGGCAGTCTGGGGGGTGATAGATGTACAGAGGGGTCAAGCTGATGAGAACACAGGGTGTAAGAGAAGGACGACAAACAAACCGGGCGCTGCCAAGTGCTCCATCACCAAAACAACAAGAGAGGACCTAAAGGAGGCCATCTAGCAAATTCATCTGTAACCTATTCCTGTCCATTCCAAAACATTATACGAATAGTAAGAGACAACCCTAAGGGAATAAACTGGCTGGCTAAACTAAAGACAATATTGCATGATAATAGACATCTTTAAGTCTTTAAGTGTTAGAGGCTAACAAATGGCAAATATTTCTGCTCAAAATTTAAGATTTAATGCAAGAGATTGGACAAAAATAAAAATTCAAGATCATTTATTCACCCTCAAACCTATGTGGTGCACAACAGGAAATGTTTTGGAGGATGTTCAAGCTGCTCTTTTCTATTCAGTGAAAGCATATAGTGATCAAGGGCACATTGTAACTGTTAACTAAAACTAGTAGCCACATTTTAATCCAGACTAAAAAGTGTTTAGCTGTGCATTTACTGTATTACTACTGATTGCACTGTAACATAACATATTTATGTTTTTTTCTTTTATTCTTATTTGTTTTTATTACTTTTTAGTACATTTAAAAAAAAAATGTTATTGTACATTTGTATTATTTCTTATGCATGTTATGATTATTTTAAATTTCTTTGTTATTTTTAATTCCTTTGTAAACCACTTAGAATTACCATTGCATATGAAATACCCTGATAAATAGAAGTACCTTGGCTTAAAACTCAAACTATTTCAAATGTCTTTGTTCATTTAAATAGAGCTGAAATAAAATAAAATATATATTGAAATACTGAGATTACTAAAGCTAAATTAAAGCTGAATAGAAATATTTAAAAAACAAAACAAAAATGAATAAAAATGACAAAAGCACATTAACAAAGTGACTTAAACTAAAATGAAAATGAACGTATAAAAATTCAAATATATATAAAAAAACAATTAAAACATTAAGAAATACTAAAATAGTATATAAATAATACTAAACTAATGCCAAAAATGACCATAATAGAGGTTCATGTCACTTCTGAGTTATATTCAAGTTTTTTTTTTTAATATCTCATATGATGCAAGTCATATGATGCTTTTGTGGGTAATGAATTTTTAAATAACTGATTACTAAAAAGTCTTAATGATTTTGGTTGGTTCTTCACACAGAGCTTTTATATTGCTTTAAAAGACTTGGAACATAGCACACAAGAATGAACTATGTTTTGGAATACATTTACGGTGCTTTTATAATATTTTTGGATATTGACAGGCACTATATACTTTTGTTTAATTAAAAAGAGCAGCATGAAAATTCAGTCAGTCAGTCAAATGATTTTGGAACAAAATGAGGGAGAGTAAATGATGAGATTTCCTTTTTTGGTAAACATTTCAGAACAAACAGACAATGATATGCTACACTCAAAGTGCAAACATAACCTCTCAATAACGACCACAATATGTTCATATCTGTACCTCCGTAATAATAACTTGTATTAGTGAGAGTCTAAAGTTTACTTTAGGGATGCTTTCAAACTAAATACTGCATTACATGACTAGAGTAGGACTTTTACTAGCAAATGCACCAATCTGAGGATTTAACACTGTCACTGAGGAATAAAGAGGGGAGGAGGAGGAGAAGACAGATGGAGAAGAATATTCCCAAACGTAATGGACACAGGGATCAGAAGTACGTTGGACAGTGAGATCATATTTTATTCTTCTTCAGGAGATGTCAGGGAGAGACCTTAAAGGCTGTCTGAGCCAAGAAAGAGAGAGAGAGTGAGAGAGAGAGAGAGAGAGTGAGAGAGAGAATTTGAAAAGGAGAAAGATGTGGGTGTAGGCCGTAGCAAGAGGGTGAGTGGGTGAGTGAGGGAGTGAGGAAGAGGAGGAGAGAGGAAGAGGAGGGTCTTGAAGGCAAGGCGGGCAGGAGGAACAGAGGAGGCAAGCAGGCTGGAACAGGTGGAGGTGGGCGTCAGCAGGGAGTTCAGGACAAGGGTACGAGGAAGGAGGTAGAGGAACAAAGGTAGTGGACCAATATGGTGTATACTTGCCCTTGAAGACTGATCCGTCTGAGGAGGAGAGAGCAGAAAAGAAACAGGGGGGACGGGTAAGGGGAGGAGGGGGGTCACAGACAATATTTTATTCAATGACTGTTTGAATAAAAATATTGTTTTTCTCAAAAGAAGGAAAATCAAGTCAGTCAAAACAGTAATGAACAACTGAGAACAGGAAACCAAAATGAATGACGTCGCAAAGAATATAGCAACAAGACGACGGAGGCAGGGAATGAACTCCACGAGGACGGAGACGAGGAGAGAACATCTGAGGACACATGAGCAGAATCAGAACTAATGAACCTTCACCGCATGACGAAACATGGAGAAAAATTATGTCACAAAATGAGAATCACACATGAGCTAGGGAGAGAGGAACGCTTTGGAAATAAAAAGATAGATGAAAGAAAGAAAGAACAAAATTTTAAACCAAAGAGGAATGAAAGCATAAACAAAATGCAACAAAAATAAAATGAATGAAAGAATGAACTTCAGACTTGAATTAATAAATAAATAAATAAACAAAAGAAAAACACACAAAACAACAAACTAAAGGTCAAACTAACAAAAGAACTAGAAGAAACAATAAACAAAAAGGAACAAACGAACTGAAATAAACAAAATTCACAAAAGAATAAATTAAATATATAAAAACAATAGCTAAAACCAAAAAGAATGAATATGACATATGAATATACAATATGAAAGAACTACAATTAAACTAAAGAACAAATTGCAGAAAGAAAGAGGGGGAGAACTGTAAGAGATATAAATGAATCAAATGAAAAAGATGGAAGAATGAACAAAAGAGAAACAAACAAATAATAGATAATGAAAGAATGGCACAAAAGAAAAGGATCAAACCAAGAAGGAACAAAAGCAATAAAAACAAAATTAAAAAAATGAACAAAATAATGAACAAGTGAAAAATACACAAAAACAGACTGAAGAAAAAGAACGAAAGAACAAACTAGCGATCAAATGAACAAACAAAAAAGAACAAAAATGCAAGCAAAAGCGATAGAATGAAATATCAAATGAGCAACATCAAAGGAAAAGCAGAAAAACAACTAAAGATCAAACAAAAGAACTAAAGAACAAATAAAACAGAAATAAAGAACAAATTAAACAAATGGAAGAGAATAAACATCATATGAAACACAAATAAACAATAGAGATTGACTACAATCAACAAATGACCTAAAGATCATATGAATGAACTAAATACAACATAAATAAACAAAGAACAAAGAAAAACAAACAAAAAACAAGGAAAGAAAGGAAAACCAAAGGCGTTCCATCTCCTGTGCGGGACAATGGCCCGTCAGGGGGCATTGTGGGATACCTTTTTCTTATTTATTGACTGATTCCAAAGCTGCCAGCAAACAATACAGCACAGTGAGCATCCACATGAATCAAAGCAAATAACAAACACGACAGAACACATAAAGCACACAGTGAAAAGCAAAAGCATGCCTCTTTTCACATCTCGCTAACAAAAACACAAAACCTGTCCAGACAAAAGATGCTTCAGAATCGTCATTGTGAGAGAGAAGACGAGAGCATTTTTTTAATGTTTCGGCAAAAGGAAAAATAATAGCACATGGTCACCATTATTTTCAACTCAGTAAACACAGTAAAACCACAGCTTTCACCTCTCTGGTTTTTAGTGAGGGTTTTTTCTTTGCATCCGTGCAGGGAAAGAAAAATCACCTCATTACAGAACAGCATGAGGACAGGAGGGAAGAGGGAAGAGGTGGGGTGGGGTTTCACAGAAGAACACATCCACTCTCGCTTTCCCGGGAATACACGCTCGGACCCGATGCTGCTGTGATGTCAGAGAAAGGGGGAGGGGCTTCCGTTGATTGGACGAGAGGGCGGGAGGGGGGAACAGGAAGTCTCTTTGGGAAGAAAGAAAGGTAAGCGGGCTTTGCGTTAGCCTGCCCTTGGTACTTACACTGGACCTGGAGGATCTGGTCGCTCAGGTTGGCCTTGATGTGGTTTTCGCTGTAGGACGGCAGAACTAAACCGAGACTGCAAGGAAGGAAAGGAAGAATTTGAACATCATTTGCATATGACCACATCTGGCGCTTTCTAGGATACAAACTAACAACCAATCACACTTTTTTAAAGCAAGTATCTCATGTTAAAATGTACAAAGCATGAAATGTTACTGCATTTAATGTCTACACTTTCTTATTTATTTTTATTCAGTGCAACTATCTAAACATTCTTAAATCAGCATACAATTACTTGAGAAGCAAAATGACTTAAGATATTAAGATATTAAGTCTATTCTGAAAAAAATTAAAACACTGCCAAAGGGTAAGGAAAATAAACTTAAAGGAAATACAAGATTATTTTTCTTACCCTGCTGGTAGACATTTTTTCTTGTTTTAAGCAAGAACTAAATTTTGATCATTTTTTTTAGAAAACATTATGTAACTTGACCCTTTTAGACTTGCACTCTATTCATTTACTAACTGCTTGTTTTCTTAAAAAGTTTTCTTTTTATTTATTATACAATTAACAAAAGCAAAAAAGGCCCCTAACACTAGCTTGCTCTATTCTTTTTCTATTCTGTTTTCTTTTTATTTATTATATAATAAAAAAAAACTTTGCTACGTGTACTGTGTTAAGCTAACTGAGACTCGTTATAGCACTTGCATATCATTGCTCTTTTGTTGATTTTGATTGCTTCCATTGTCCTCATTTGTAAGTCGCTTTGGATAAAAGCGTCTGCTAAATGACTAAAAGTAAATGTAAACTTTGCTTCTTAAGTAAATGTATCTTGATAGATTTAAGAATGTTTAGATATCTGTACTGGAAAATGAGAAAAATACTGTGTAAGAAAATTTTATTCAAATATATTTATATTCAAATACTGTTGTATAATACACACACACAGAAAAATTCTACTTTTCACACGGTTGCAAAGACCACTATATTACAGAGAGAAACTGCTGATACAGTTTAATCTACTGAGATGGATGAACAAGAATAAAAAAGTGTTTCAAGCCCTATTTTGCGCTTTATTCATAGACATTACCATGCACAGAAGGAATATTCATTGGAATAATTATTAATTTCCAAAATGCCCTGCTGAAAAGACCAACTTAGAGAACCTAAACTGCAAATTTTGGCAGGTTACGGATGCCAATTAAAATTCATGACTCATTTCAACAAAACTGCATTGAATGTTTTACAGTCTAAACTTAAAATAGCCAAGAGGATGTAGAGAGAAAGTGACTGAAATCAACAGAAATGCAGTCTGAAAGAGCGAGTGTGTCATATTGACCTGTAATCTGTGCCCTCCACTGGACTCCATATGTATGTCCTCTGGACCTCATCAATGTAACGCTGAAAACACACACACAAAGAGCAGCACATCACCAACCAGCCGTAAGATCATCACACTGTATGCCATTATATCTAATGTGACTCACCTCATCCACAGACTTCACCAGTGTCCTGATTCTCCTCTGTCCTGCTCTGCCATCAATCATTTGACGGCGGATCTACAATAAGATAAAAACAAGATAATTCTCGGATTGTAAACACATTGAAGGGATTTAAAGATTATTTTAAATCAAGCTATGACAAAAAAATAATAATTTTTGAGGTTGGTAAGATTTTTTTCTTTTAATGTTTTTGTCTTTTATGCTCACCAAGGCTTCATTTATTTGAGCAAAAATACAGTAAAAACAGTGATACTGTGAAATATTATTACAAATTAAAGTAACTGTTTTCTATTTAAATATATTGTAAAATGTAGTTTATTTGTGTCATGCAAAGCTGAATTTTCAGTATCATTATTTCAGTGTCACATGATCCTTCAGAAATCATTCTCACATACTGATTTGCTGCTCAAGAAAAAGTTCTCATTTTTTTCAGTGTTGAAACCAGCTGTGCTGCTTGACATTTTTGTGGAAAATGTGATACATTTTTAATTTCAGGATTCTTTGATGAATAGAAAGTTCAAAAGAACAGCATTTTTTTATTTATTTAAATGTTTTGTAACAATATACATGTTATTTCTGCCACTTTTGATCAAATTAAAGCATCCTTGCTGAATAAAAGTATGAATTAAAAATCTTGATCCCAAACAAGTAAGTAAGTGAATTGGGAATTTTGTTCCAAGACCAAAAAACGCTCTTCATCCAGAAGCACATCCTACTTAGCTAAACTCGGCCATGTTGTCTGATGAGTAATTTAATGACATTTTAATAATGTATTTGGCACATTTGCAAGGAAAACTCATTGTAGAGATGTTCACCTCCTCCTTGTTGCGATCTGGAAGTTCAGCATCCAAGAAGTCCAATGTGACTGGCTCTCTGAAGTTAATGATCTACACAAATCCATTAGGAAAAAATAATTATTGTTATAGAGATAAACATGCATTAAAAATGGAAGGTAGAAAAGGAAAATAACTACATTTTGGACTAAATTTAAGTCTATAAACAAGTGACAAACTCAAATGCTTTTCACCTTAGGCTGTAGGTTGGGGTGCAGCAGCACATAGCCATTGGGATCTATGGCAAACGTGTAACCATTGGCTCCAAGCTGTGTACAGAGATGCAAATTACTGACTGATGATCGAAAATAAAAATAACTGAAAAAGAGATTTATATGACTTACCTTATATCTTGGTGTGAGTTCTTTAATTTCATTGAGGGCGATGTCTACACCCATGACACCAAGATTCAACTGATTCTGCAATAAAGAAACCAACAGACTGAAAAATACAACAAACGACCACAAGGGGGCAGAATTGATATTTAACAAAACTACAGGTAATATAACAGTCAAATCAAACGGTCAAAAACAATTGGATTAATGCTTGGAGAGTGAACTGTCAAGCAAGCACATTTCTCCATTTTTATGTTATACATAATGTTGAGCTGTTGTATCATAGTTATCATTACCATTGTCAATGTCAAAAAAAAGTATAGCTTTGGTACGAAAGCATCTGCTTAGGACATAAATTGAAGAGCAAATAAAGTGACAAGCGAATGTGCCTCCAGGAAAAATAACTGATATGTGACGACAGGCAGTGTGTTGAATTATAATGCGCTCTGCATTTATCAGTCACACTGGCAGGACAGTTGATCATCTAATGGAAAGGTTACTCATCCATCAATGCATCAATGCACAAATTAAAGATGTGTGCAAACACTACTAAAGTGAAAAAAAGTGACGTGACATGTGGCCAAGTATGGTGACACATACTCGGAATTAGTGCTCTGCATTTATCCCATCCAACGTGCACACACACAGCAGTGAACACACACACACCGTGAACACACACCCGGAGCAGTGGGCAGCCATTTTTTTGCTGCGGTGCCCGGGGAGCAGTTGGGGGTTCGGTGCTTTGCTCAAGGGCACCTCAGTCGTGGTATTGAAGGTGGGAGAGAGCGCTGTACATTCACTACCCCCACCTACAATCCCTGCCGGTACAAGACTCGAACCCACAACCTTTGGATTACGAGTCCAACTCTCTAACCATTAGGCCACGACTTCCCCACTGATGCAATTCTGAACCATCCAGCCAAACAGACAATGTTTAAAATACAGTTTACCTGGAAATAGAAGTCATGGAACTGATGGCATCTTCATTCAAGGCAATTATAATAAATACATATTACATATAGGCTACAAAACCCAAATTCTGTTAATAAATGTTAGTTAATCTTTCCTT